CACTGAATTGGATCTTTTGAGGCGAGGCCATGGTAGTGGGGTAGAGAAGACATAGTGAGGATTCGGGGAATATTTTTGTCCCAACCTGAGGAACTTCTCTTGGAGTAGTGTGCAATTGAGAATGGGAGGAAGGGAAGGTTTTATGAAGCAGTAGATGTTATTTTCATTCTCTGAGGTTTGGGAAGCAGCATACGCACCAGGGCCTGGCCTCTCTTTGGGTAGGACACCCCCCCCCCCGCCCATGCTGGCTACACTGGCTCCTCTGGCTATGCAGATATGCTCAGGTTCATTGGGAACAAACCATTTCAGATTTCCTCATGCTGGGAGGAAACTATACATTCTAATCAGAAAGAATTTTTTTCTAATTTTATGTTTTTATCTTATAGTCACCTTTATTTTTCTTTTCCCCTTATTTTATTTTTCATCTTTCTTTGTTTTTATCCTCTATATACTTTATTTTCATTTCTCTCATTTTTATTTCAAATTTCTCATCACTATTTCCCATCACCTTTACCTAATTCTAGAAATGTCCCGATAGTCCTGAATAGGATCTTCTCACCTACTTCTGTCTCTCTTCTTATATCCTATAGTGTAAGCTTCCATATTTTTCTTCATTTATGTCTCCTTTTCCAGCACACTATATCTTCAGTAGCCTCATCACTGAACTTTATTTTCATATAGCTAGTTAATGCTATAAAATTATGGTTGATATTTTTCTGTGATTAACAAAGCAATAACTAATATTTATCCATATTTAGATGTATGTCATAATTGGGTTATAATATTTGCAGTATTCTACTGCTAATAAAAGTAACTATTTTGTTGTGATTGCATGTTAATATGCAGTATTTCTTGGATAATATCACTGTAGCTGATGTGCTTGACATTTGCAGATCACATAATTGTTGATGATAACAACATTCCATTTGCCACTACTCAGGATTTCTTTGGGACATTAACGATACCAGAGTACATTCCCAGACAACACGGTGTTGGCACACCCACATTGCATTCTCCTCTTCAAAACTAACAGAGGTGGTCTGATCTTGGGACAAGGACTACACTTATCTGTTCTCAAAGTATATCCCAAGAAGAAAGTAGACTATCTAAAGAGGTATCTATACTAGCGAAAAAGTCTTACCACTCGAAATGCCATAAATTTCAGCATAAAACAAAGCAAACAAAAAAGAGAAACATGAAAACAGAGCCAAGAAAATTCTTCCTTAAGTCCCAGCTCCCTGAAAGCTCTGCTGGGCATTGTGGAGGAGAGTAGCATAAGCCACAACCAATATTATTTGAAAGGATTATAATAGAGGTTAGAAAGTACATCAGAGTGGTGCTTGGCTGAATAATAGAATATAAAACTGAACAGGAAATGGAAATAATAGCCAAAATGATCAAAGTGCCTTCAGAAGACTGCAACAAAAAGCTAGCCTAGCTAAACAAAACTATACAGAGCATGAATGAATACTGTAGCAAAAAGTTACAGTCTATAATAAGATTTTAGTCAGAAATCCAAGACATTAAAACATGTATTGAAAGCTTTTTCAGCCGAAGTAACTAAGAAGACATGAAAATTCCAAATGATCTAGTCAATGAAGTTGAAACATATATATGAAATATATTATATATATATATATGTATATATATATACACACACATAGGATATATATATATATATATAATTAAGAAAAGCCTAAGTCACGTTAGATTCACTGTCAAACTCATCAAGAACTATAGAGAGGATATAATGATAATGATCCTCGAACTCTTCAATGATATTGAAAGGAAAACAATATTCCCAAAGTCATTCTTGGAACCAAGCATTACCCTCATTTCAAAACCAGAAAATGATATAACCAAAAAGAGAACTATAGGCCAATCATCTTAATTAACATAGATGCAAATATCATCAATAAAACACTGGCAGAAAGAATGTGTCAAATCCTCCTGACGATCACACATCATGCTCCAGTAGAATTCATTTCAGAGTTTCAAGAATGCTTCAAAATGTTTCAATCAAATATGTAGTACACTGCATAAACAGAAGCAAAATAAAGCAGGGTCATTTTAATAGATGCAGAACACATGCTTGGCAAAATGAGATGTTCACTCATGATGGGAAACATGAAAAAATGAGTATAAAAGAATGATATCTCCATCTCATAAATGCCATCTGTGAAAAACCAATGGCCAAATTAACATCAGATGATGAAAAATGGAAAGCTTTCTCTCTACAATTAGGTACAAGACAAAAAAGTCCACTGTAACCATTTCTGCTCAATATACATCTCAACACATTACCCAGAGCAGTCAGAAAAGTGAGAGAAATTAAAGACACATTTATAGGAAAGGAAGAATAAAAATATTGTTATTTGGAGATGACATGAACTTCCTTACAGAAGACCCCCAAAATCCACCAAAAACTCTGAAAATTAGTAATCAAGTTCAGTAGAATCCCAGGTTACAAAGTTAACACACAAAACTCAGTAGTGTTCCTGTATACCAATAATGAACTCATTGAGACAAAAAGAGACAAACAATACCTTTCATGATAGCGTGAATAAAAATGAAATATTTCAGAATTAATCTAACCGAGGAAGTAAAGGATCTCTACAATGAAAACTGTAGTATGTTGAAAAAGAGAGACTGATGAGACTATCAGAAAATGGAAAGATATTGCATTACTGGAGGGACAGAATGAATATAGTCACGATGCTCATCTGTTCAAAACTATTGGTACACAAATATAATGGAACACCAAAGGTTGCCTCAGAGAACTGTCAAAAATAATCCTAACATTCATATGGCACCAGAAGAGATCGAGAGCAACTAAAACAATTCTAGGCAACAAAGGCAAGGCAGGAAGTGTCACAATCCTCGACCTTCAATTGAAGTACAAATGTGGCCTTAAAAAGAGCATGGTACCGGCAAAAAGCAAAAACAAACAAAACCCCCTCAAACAAACAAACAAACAAACACCAGACTTCCGATGTATGGAAACAACACCAAGAAACTTTAGCTACCTTACCCTTGACAAGGGGGCCAAGTGCTTTCCCTGGAGGAGAGGCAGCCTCTTAGACAGCTGGTGCTGGGGAAGCTGTCTATCTCCATACAGAAGGTGGAAGTTAGACCATATCACTCACCATGCGCTACACTAACATCGAAATGCAACAGAGACCCACATCCTCTGGCTCTGATCTAACTGAGCCCAGTTCTCACTGCTGCAGGTCTCAAAGCAAGGCTCTGTCTCTCCTCTCCTGGTGCCCGGAAGTAAAAGAGTGTAATGGCCTGAAAATTCCTATCCCCAGGGTGCTGCGCTGTAACAGAGGCAGATGTGGGTTGTTTATGGACCCTGTCCCTGGCTTGGGGCTTCCTCACTGTGCCTTCAGGGCCTCCTCTTGACCTAACTCAGCTCAGGTCCTCTCTGCTCCTCCCACATGAACCACAGTCCTCAGAGCTCTTTTCTGACTCTCCTCTCCTGGTGTCCTGAGGTGAAAAAGATGCTCCCTAGAGACATTTTCTCCTGATGCAGGGCTCCTCTGAAATATATGACCCTAGGCCTTTTGTTCCTTTCACCTGAAGCACAGTCTTTAGGAAAAGGCTCTGAGTGTCAGTTCTCTTAATGAGAAAAGGGGAACTCTTTTGACAATTCTTCACTGTGAAGTGCAGGTCCAGTGATGGAGTCTTTTCTAGAACTTTCTGAGATGGTCTCATTGAGTTGGGGATTCCTGAGTACCATCAGCAGCCCCTCACCTGGATCTAACTGATCCCAGGCTCTCTGCTCCTCTCACCTGAAGCTCAGTGCCCAGAACAAAGTTCTGTTGTCCTCTCACAGGGAAGCCTGTGAGTCAAGTTCTTGGTCTGAAGGGAACAGATTTGACTCTACAGAGGATGCGAGTTCAGACATTGCCTGGAATCAGGCAATATAATCCCTAGTGACATTGGAGGAACAGGAAGACTCCCCTTTATTCCCTGCTGTCTGACCTCAGACATAGTGTTGGAATAAGGGGCCACTGGACCCCTAACAGAGCTGGAGCCCTCTTCACTCCTGTCACCTAAAACACAAACCTCAGAACGAGGCCATCTCCCTGGCTCACAGTCAGTAGATATGACATCCATCATTGTGCCTAGGGTGTGACAGGTAGGGGAGTAACTGGATCTTGCTTGTCACCTTTGTCCTTCCTAGAGATCTTCACTTTGGTTCTTGGCACAGCATAGAACCCTGTGCTCCATAGATCTGATGTTCACCTCAGTGTAAGACTGACTCCCAGGGTTCCCTGGGGCAGAAGGAAACAGACTCTTATTGGATCATGAAGGAACTATGGCTACTATGCATGACTCACTGCTCTATTTTCTTATTTCTCTTGCATTCTTTATGAATTATTATTTTTCTGGTGGTAATTATTGTTTGTGTAAATTGTAACTGATGGGAATAGGGGTCATTATTAGAAATGAAATACTCCAGGCACATAAGGGCAAGGACAGTGTGCTCTCTCTCATATAATGCTTCAAAGCAGTCGAGCTTAAGGTAAAACAGTGACGACCGGAGGTTGGCAAGCACATGGGGAGAGTGGCTGAACAAGGCCGGGGCCCATTCGTGCGCACTGCACGCCTGTGCTGAGCTGTCCCTCTGAACCTCCCCAGTAACCTGTGTAATTTAGCCAGAGAATTCAAAGTAAGGTAACAGCTTTCAAGAAAAACAAAGAAATGCCGTGTGAGTTTGCAACCTGCTAGTCTGCCCACAGAATTCAAAAGTGACAGGTGACGCAATCACAGGATGCAACTCTTCAAAATGTCCCTGCTACTGTTTCTCTTGCTCTCTGGAGAGATAAACAGTTACACTTCACATCTAAAATGTCCCCAAAAGCCTCCCACTCAGGGAAAGGCCTGGTGAACAGATTGGTTCCCCTGGACCAACACGGGCGGGTGTGTTCTCTCGGGTCTCTGTGCTTCTTGGTTGAAAATTAGGGCTCAGAGTAAGGCTCCCCCCCTTTCACCTGTGGTTGTCAGGTGTTCTGTCCCTGGGATGAGAAGCTAAGGAAGAAATATCTATGTCCACATTAACAGATACGAAGCGCAGGTCGAGGGCCACTCTTTGGGAATGGACGGCCGGTGCTTTCAGAGCTAGTTGTCTCACTGCCCATCCGCTTTCTCGGGCCATCTTCAGGGACATCTTTCCCATCATTATTTGTTTCTGTGTACCGGAATATGTGAATGCTTTCCTGGACCCCACTCAGTTACACTGACGTGTTTCTTGAGTTATGTCAGGGTCTTTTTTGTTTTTAGTTTATAATTCCTGAAATGAGTTAGGGTAACTCTTTCAAATTTGTTCTACTTAAAAAGTTTTCTTTGGTTGTTACTGGTCCTTTGAACTTTTATGAATGTTTGATTTTAGAGTTTCTATTTGGATGTCATTGAATATATCAAGATATTTGGGGAGAATTGGTTATTATTATAATATTAAATTGACAGGGTAAGTTGAATAATAAATAACCAAATCTTTTCCCACTCTGTAAGTTGTCTTTTCACCTGTTGTTGATTTTTATTGCTGTACAGAAAAAATAAGATGAGATACCAGTTGCTGAATATGGGAAACATTTCCCTTGTGATCAGGGTTGGTTTATAAATTCCTTCCCTACATCTATATCTTCAAGACTTCTGACGAGTCTCTCTCCCAGAAGATGTGTGTGTGTGTGTGTGTGTGTGTGTGTGTGTGTGTGTCTGTGTGTAGTATTTAGATCTTTGATGTATTATTTTAGTTCAAATCATGGTGTGAGACAAGGACACATTTAGTCTTCGGCATGTGAAAAGCCAGTTATTCCAGCTCCATTTCCCTTCTTCACTGTTGTTTGGAGTGTAGAGTGCTGTGACTAGGTGGAAAACAGTGTGGACATTCCTCAAAAATCTGGAAATAGAGGCACCATGACCCAGCTATTCCAGTTCATGGCATCTTCCCAAAAGAATTCACAACATCAGAGCACAGCAATATACGCAAGCACAAGCTTACAGCAGCACATTGTGTAAGAGCTGAATCTTGGAAACAGCCCAAGTGTCCATCAACCAAAGAACACGTGAAGAGATATGGGATATTATACAGTGCACTACTACTCAGCCATAAAGAAGCATAAGCTTGGGACATGTCTAGGTAAACGGATTGACCATGAGACCACACTCTTAAGTGAAATTGACTGATTACACATATGCAAATACCACACTGTTTATGTGGCATGAGAAACTGAAAGTGTAAATAAGGATCAAAATATAGACTTAATATTACCAAGTAGGAAGTCAATATTCAAGTAAAAAAGGGATCTACAGAGGGTGGAAGTGGGATGGAAAGAAGGAAAAGAAAAGAAGTCATCAAATGCCCGAAAATATTAACCAAGCTTTGGTAAATAGGGTGGAAATTTGGATCTCAGACAGTGTAGAGGAATAAAAAGTGAAAGTAAAGTTAAGCGCAAATACCTAAGAAGAATGTGACATTATGTCATCTAAAAAGTTCCCGTTAAATTATTCAATAAAGAAGACTTGAAGTCCCATAAAACACGAGTGGCACCAGCCAGTATCCTCAGGACACACAGCAACCCTGCTAACTCGGGCCCTTTACCATGTCTTTCTTTGCCTTGGTTTAATCGTCAAATTCCTTAAATTTTACTTGCCATATTTCAGAGTCTGAGAGATACTAGCAATAACAAGACCATTTCCTAGATCCTGGGGCAGTGCCTCCATGTCTAGCTTAGTCCTCTCATAGCCAAAGTCAGCGCGTTCCTTAAGGAAGACGCTGGGGCACTTCCTTACCACAGCACCAGTGAGCACACCTCGACCACCTGATGTCAGTCAACGTGAAGTGTGAATGATGCTTCATGACCCCCTCTGGGTGACCTCATGCAATTGCAGGGGACCATTCACAGTGGGGTGGTAGCCCATGAGTCACCAAGGCTGTGGTGTCTGCTATTCCAGACCCCAAACTATGCCAGCAACAGCCTTCCTGCCACGGTGCAGTTTTCAGCCACGTAACCACACATGCCTTTGCTCTCTACTGCTCTGACCATCAGGTAACTAGTGTAACCTGAGTTTCAGTGCTCCGCGTGTCATTTTTGCCTTTCATCAGGCTCCCCAGGATCCCAAACGCTTACTAACAGTGATTCAGGGTGTTCATTCTGTGCACATCCAGATGCCTTGCTCCATGTTTGGATGCTGTCATCACTAACAAGTTCAGTCATTCATTCCTGGGGGGTAAAATGAACGTGATTATCTCTTTACAAAGGATAAAAGAGGTTTGAGTCTTCTATTCATCAGTGCCTCGGATTTTACACTGTGTACCACACTATCAGTGTACCTGGGTGGAGGTCTAGAGGATGAGGTCTCTTCACTGTCCTCCCTGTAAGTCCTCCCCTTCAGTCCTCAAGCATGGCACTCCTCCATGGAAATGAGTCATCCTTCCTAGTTTTCAGAGTCAGTATACAGGACACAATTCACTTTGAAACCACAGGCAGACTTGGTCTATCCCTCACGGCCCCATCAGTTTTGTTTCATTTTTCCCTTGACACTGGACACTGCCTGAGACCCTACCTATGGTGATGCCCTTTACTTTTTCTGAGTCCTCTAAGCTCCTTCAGGCCAGGATTGTTCACCATCCAGGAGGCTTTCCAACACTCATGACATGGGCCAACTTCTGTGGAGACTTCCCTGTTCTAGGGACTAAGACACCCACCTCTGTGACCAAGGCTCTCACCTTTCTTGGACCTCACCCATGAAAGTTAGGGGGCTGCACATCCTGCAACTGTGCCTGGGTATAGTACCCAGGACAGAGATGTCATCCAAGGCACTCTTTTTTTTTTTTTTTTTGTCTTTTTCATTTTTATTGGTACCAGGGATCGAACTCACGACCGCCTACTTGCAAGGCAGGCGCTTATGCCACTGAGCTAAATCCCCAGCCCCCCAAGGCACTCCTTTAGAGATATGGGCAGAGATCACTCCCACCTGCTTCTCTCTCCAGGCGTTAGTTCCTGGCAGAAGGAACTCTATGTGAGTGTGCCCTGTCCAACAAGTTTCTGACGTCCAGCTGGCCTCAGCCCCAGGTGGAGATGCTCTCCCTCCTGTACTCCTATCCTTTGGAAAACTCACTCTCTACCTTCAGACCAGAGCTCTGACATTCAGTGTCCACTGAAGACAAAGGAATCCAAACCTGAGAATTTTTCATTGAGTACAAGATTGACAACACAGGGAATTTTGAGTTGTTTTGAGACACTCTCCCTGGGGTGGGGCTTCCTCACACCCATATCCCCTCAGCGTGACCCTTATGTGAGCCAAGAAGTCTGCTCCCATCATTTGAAGCAAGGAACACACGTGCCTCCTCACACCTTTCTGACTCCACGAGGCTGAGTCAGTGGAAGTTTCAACCAGAAACATGCCTAGAATTTCCCAGTGCTGACTGGAGCACAAAGTGGTTCTTGGGACTCCATCCTTCCTCCTCAGGCGTCCTCACATAGGTTCCTGGAAGAGCCACGTTCCTCTTTCTCTATGGACCTGAGTCTTTTCCCCTTGGCCCAAGGTGTTAGCTCCCAAGGTCTCATAATTGTAAAGAGGTCAGATCCAGCTCCTTAGGTGACAGTTTTGGGGCGTTGGGGCCTCCTTACAATAATCATAGCCCATCATCTTGACCCAAGTGAGCTTGGGTCTCCCTGTTAGCCTCACCTGAAGGAAGCTCAAGGTCCTCAGATAGACCTGACCAAGTGGGTCAAAGAGCCAGTGGATGTGACATCCAGTGGTATGCCCCATGTCTGACTGCAGGTGCGCAATGGGGTTCTGCAGGTCTCCTGGGTCCTCCCTGTGGGTCAGCAGCTTGGTTCTCAGCAGAGTATGTCCCTCCTACCTTAGCTCCCCTCAGTCTGCAAGGGTTCCCTGTGGTGGCAGCCATGGGAAGGGAAGGGAGTGGTTAGGCTGACATAGCTGCCTGGGGTCTGCAATGCTGACCTTAGTGTCTAGGCCCAGGAGCCAAGCTCTGTGGTGACCTCATCAAGGACAACCGTCCCCTCCTATGAGGTCTCTTCACCAACCAGAGGCAGATCTCACATGCTTTCCTTCCCAAAGTGTGACGCTGACAGGGAAGCAGGTGAGCAGAGGGTTGGGGTGAGCCCTGCTTATGTGAAGACTTCTAACTATCCAGGGCGTGGATGTCACCTTTCAAAGTGATTTAGAGTCAGGAAGCTCTTTTACATATCAACCAACTACATGTGAGCATTTCACACCAACAGACAGACAAGGTGTATGAAGTGTGTGTCTGGACTACACTTAACACAAGTGTAGATACCAAAGGTGGGCTTCTATTATTTTATGTTCTGTTTTTGTCAAATGCATATGTATTTCATGTATATATTTGTATAAATACATTTTCACAGATGGCTGTAGGAACACTGCATATGCTTACTTGATTAAAGAACATCTACCATTACATGAGTCACTTTTTAATTGCTATTTTATTTCTAGTACAATCTTACATCCCATTAAAATTGTGGTAATTTTCAAAGCCAGTCTTTACCCACTAAGGTGGTTTCAGCTGGTTTCATGCAGAATATCTGGACCCATATTGTCCCTCTCTTTTTTCTTGTCTGGTGATACCTGAATGTCATTGCATCTCCAGTCTGTGGTGCTGCCTCAGCCCGTGCAGCGATTCACAGGCAGGAGTTTCAGAACTGTCCTCCGGCTGATGCTGTCCTGTGCTACCTGTGCAGCCCTCAGCTTCCTGCCCCTATCCGCGCACACACAGGGACCAGCGCTAGAGTTTTCAGTCGCCCCCATGCCTTCCTCGTGTTTTATTGTTTACACTGAGTTACTTTTTTGTGTTTCCTGTGTCTCCTCTCTCTGTATTCTGGTGGTTAATTCCAGAAGCACAAGACAATATCCACAGTTGTTTCTCATTTTGCTGCTACAACAACCACAATGGGGATGAGCATTACTTGGGGGAATGGAATTACTTGGTTCCTATTTTTAGCCTACCATAGGCTGGCTCTAAGGCAGAAAAACCACTGGATGAGGTCCTGGAGGCACAAAGCTATTCAGTTCACGCTAGTTGTGAAGCAGAACTGGGGAACAGTACTGGAGTGGAAGGGGCTAGCGATTGCATATATTACTGGAGGTCAGGTTTCCATAAGTCCCCCACACTTCCAGGAG